GTGTGACAGAGCGCGATAACAAGTGGTAGCAGCTAGCAAAGTCCTTGTCGTTGTTGTTCACGTTGTTATTGCTTGTTCTTGCATTACGAATTATAAAGATCAGTGATAGATAAATTGATGACCGGTGACAGGTTATCCTATCAGCTGATATAACTAGATAAGAGCCCGAGCTTCAACTCATTTCTTATCACTTCTTACCACTATACTACCAAGTATCAGAGAATCTGCGTGCAAAATCTTTCCTTCTTTCCTTTAGGCCCCTCGAAGTCAGCAGCATCAAAATAGGTCACTAAGCTACTTGCTCTCATAGGCATCATACGCATCTAATGATGTCGACCGGGGCGGAGGGTTATATACCATATACCGGAAGAAGTACATTGCGCAAAGCGAAGATCTGGGAGTACTCTTAATCGATTGTGACAGGCTAAAAATGGCTTCCCATGTGCCCGTGTGGGGCTAGGGTTTCCAATGAAGTAAGCGGGACAGCGTGCGTTAGCAATTGTGTCAGCATATCAGAGAGCGCATTCTAGATAATGTCACTTCCTTTACTGTGTTCTCATTTTTGTTGGGTACTTCAGCTTTCCGAAAGCCAGCTGTTGCACGATTTTCAACTCCTTGGTTTAGGAAGTAGAATCTTATTTATTTCCTGGTAGTCAACTCAAACTACATTCAAAGGGCAGCGCAATTGGATCCGATTACAGCTGCATAGTACACATACTGGTATCGTGGCCATGATGACTTGTTCTATTAAAAGTGTTCACCGCAGTCGCAAGAAAGGTAGAAAAATCGCAGTATGGTCAGATCATTTTTGGGATTTCAGTAGGGGTCACATCTGACCGTTAAGGTACGGAAAGGCTGTCGTAGTGTGAGGGGCATTCAACACGGCACAGCGCCAGCTGTGCACTTGCACTACTGAAAGCTAAACTGGTAACTGGCAGCACTAATAAGTTGACATAGAACCGCAAGAACCGAGATCACTCAACTGTGGAACTTGAACAAGTGTGTGGGTAGGCCATAGACTTTTCTGGACCTCAGCACATCTGCTCACGTGGACAGTTATCTCATGGAGTTTACATCATCCCACTATCTTGGCGTGAGAGCTCATTCTAAAGCATGGCACATCCAGGGATGAAGCTAGGAGCGCTAAACCATCCGTCGCGTGATTTAATTCCATAACGGGATCAAATACACTTTTAGGTGATTCAACTACATACGCTTGAAATGATACACAGAAAACGGGTTCTTCGCAGTACTAGGAGTATTCTTCGATAAATCCTCAACGCTTTATATCACGAACCCAGAAACTCCAAAGAGAAATTAAGTGGCTTTTGGAGAGAGGAGATCTTTCTCCTACCAAACAGACCTTACGCTTGCGAATAGTCGAAAAAAAATCACCATCGTTGAACCAGAACAGCTCGCGTCAATTTTTGAAAAGCCCCAACAATTCCCCAGCACCGAGCAATTTTCTCAGTCACAGGTTTTGACTCTGTGAGTATTTCAGTACATTTCGAGAAACTCATATCTAACTCTTTACAGTATCTTTTCCCAAGCGTCTTTCTTCAAGGAACCTTCAGCTCTTTAACCCATTCGTGACAATGTCTGCCACTGGTGATGGACATCGAATGTCCTCTTTGGAATGAGCGCCATGTAACGCGCTGAAAAAGGCTTCAGCTTGGAGGAGGAGTGATTCCCTCTTTCTAAAGCAAGATCAGCCTCAGCATCGCATTGATAACCCTTGTGCCCTACGCTAACGTTCCTGCTAAAAATGAATGTCATATCAATAATAAGGACAGCGAATAACCCGAGAGATCGTCCAGTGAATGTCAGAAGATGGTTAATATAGGCAAGTTTTTAAATGATATTGATGTGATGAGTTTTTCCCATGTAGCAGACTGAGTCTTTCCAAGATATAGGGATCCAAGATTGAATCCACTAATGAGTTGTGGATGGAATGGGTGAAGGGTGGTGGATGCACTCGTGTAGTGTTTAGTTATAAGCAGTATACGCTTGATGTCGTCAGGCGTACATTTCAATTTTTACCAAGGGGTTGCCAAACAGCTAAATGAATCATAGGTGTATGCCAAAAATTAAGGGTGACAATATACTTTCCTGGGGAACCCCACTGCTGCACAAGTATCAGCTCGAAAACGCGTTACTAACTTACTAGCACACTGTGTCTGTATTTAGATAGGCGAATTAAAATAAAATGGGTCACTGACCCTGATTCCGTGGCCCGTAAAACGGTAATTTTTCTCTTCTGAATTCGTTATCAATCTTTCAGCTGCACAGTTCATGTACCATCTAGGTTTTTGTGAAATAGGGCTTTGCGGGATTATAAGACAGATGTATTTCTTTATATAATTTTTAAAATGTCGTAATGTGTTCGAAACATCGCCCATCTTCTCTAGCTCCAGTTATTCACCAGCTCTTGCTTGCTTCTGTGGAAGCCAGGTGCTATTGAGGGCTTATGTGGCTATAGTGGACAACTGATAATGTTAGCAGTTGCCAGATTTACAACACACTGGAAGTTTTTGCAATCAGCCTGACGGAAGCGTGTCTCCATTTGTGGCTATATGCATATTTGTTCGATTGTTCTAAACAATGAATGGAGCATCAATTACTTTGATTGCGAGTTCTAGGTAGATTATAGAATCGCAAAATTGTGTGATGAAGGAATTTTTTCGAGATTTGGCCTGTATGTTTTTGCAAACGATGATGAAAGATCTGTCAGGAGATGTGGCTTGGCACACAGGCTAGAACAGAAAAGAGGGAGCTAAAGGTAGAGTTAGGATGGCCGTGGGTTTTGTGGTAACAGTTGCAGACTGCGCATGTGTGACCCACACAACATGATGAGAGCGTAGTGAGTTCTCCTTTTTTACTGCTGACTAGATGGCACCTTAGTCCCGTCTACAACATTCGTGTTCATCAATTGTGGTGAAGCCTCGTGCCAGTCAAAAGTCAAGGATCAGCGGGAATGACCAGATGTGCTTGAGTAATGGCTGTTATAGAGCGATTTTCAAACTAGTCTTTTTTTCCTTTTTCTTGAGACTGTCCCGTGACCATCGTGACCATTTTGCGCATTTTCACTCGCTCAAAGGCAGTTGGCACGATAAATCCCCGAAGTCGAGTAGGATTAATACGCCTGGCAGGACGGAATTCCGCGACCCTGAACAAGCGCTGCATAATACTTTTTCCGAGGAAGGTGCTCTTGAAGGGCCCTATCAACATTCTACCAACGCTCGCCAAAATGGAGCGACGTCCTTAATTTTTTTTAATCAGTTGATAGCTCAATTATGACGAAGGGATTAGGTATGAGCGACCGCGATAACTGCATAGATAATTTGGTACCTATGAGGCGTACCTTTTGGTAGCGGTAATTGGCAAGATGGAAACTCGTCCAATTGAGTGTTGAACATTTGAGAACGGAGGCTCTTTCTTCGCAGGATTTCAATCGTTTCACTCCGTTCTTTCGCCATTTCCCCACTATATAGCGGCCTACCAGCATTTTAGGCCGAACAACAGATCATCGTGCTAACTGCCTTTGAGGGAAAAGAGACTTGGAGCTAGGCGGAGGGTGAGAAGTTAGTGGCTTTCGATCATAGCGTCTTTCGGTCAGCGCGCACAGCGTCTGCGGGGTTCAGGAAGAGGCATGGCGCAGTAGGAGACGTAGCAGACGTTGTAGCGCATACCTCTACACTGTCCGCTGCTCCCCTATCCGCCATAATCTCGCCTCCCCAGTGGAGGCTAGATCGATACCCATGCAAAGTAGCCTCGGCCACGAGGGGCGAACCACTAATACACAGAAGGGAGAAAGGCAGGAACCAACTCAGCTAGCTTTCCTTATGTGCTGGAAAATTCGTGGTCGAATGGTGACAACATATTAGCTCCCATTGTATTTTTTTTTGTTAGCTGCCACTGTCCGGCAGTGACGGCGTGATTGCCTTCACAGCATTGCCTAGCTCGGCGAGAGCATTAGTAGAGTATTTTCTCGCTGGTTGATTTGACAGATACAGTTACAGGGAGTCAGTCAGCTTGGGAAATACGGACCCAGGAAGGGTCGACAGAATCTGCGCCCCAATGTTGTATTCGTGATTATGTTTGAATTTATGCAAACTAGTTATCCGGTCGATTTCCCATATTGACTGGATTGAGTCCTAGTGGAATACTATGTATTTCGTCCTGCCTTTAACGTCTATCTCGTTTTCCACTATTTATCTGTAAGTCTTTTTTCTTCTGTGGCGGTCTGTCGGGAGTGGACTGGACGAAGATTATGAGAAAGTGTGATGATACCGGTCGGTTCCGTGGGGGTCATAGAGGAATCTGCATACTCCGCTGCGCGCTTTGTAACGATTTGGCTTATCGTCCTATGGTGATGTTTCTAACGGTGATTCTTCTCTGTTCTGTTGTTGACTGTTTCTTCTTCTTGCGATCGTTATCGACTCTTCTTCGGTGTAATTTCGATGTCGTCTGTGTCTTCTGATCGTTGATATTCCTTGTAGTGAGCCTTCTCTGACGCGCTCCTAGATTCTAGAGGTCGTCTTGCTCTTGGAAGTTCTCACTACTGGCGTCTCCTCGCGGTCGTTTGTTGTTGTTTCTAGAGCAGCCTCTTTTCGTCTTCATGTTCAACTGGAACAAGAGGTGTACAGGTCGACAGAAGGTATGCCCATTTAGTAGTCTGATTGTGGCGTCGCACGAATTTCCTTTGTTGAGCAAATCACGTCCTGTATTCGTATTAGGCCTAAGAGTTCCGTAGGAGAAGTGGATCAGAAATGCGTAGCACGGTATCTCGTAATGGTTTTCTTACAAGTGTTCCCGGTGGTTTCCATTGATCACGTTGTGTTTTTTTCTCGAAGGCCTGTGAATCACAGGTTCGGCCATATTTTCCAGAAGCTTACTGTGATTTTGTGGCTCATCTGGAGGGCGTTTCCCGCTTATTGCTTGTTCTTGGTCTTCCGTCAGAGGGAGAGTAGTCTTCATCACTTCTGTTGGCTCCACAAGCCTCAAAAGGGAATGTGATGAGAATGTCGCGCTGTATAAAGTCTATAGAGAGCAGAATCGTGGTTCCTCTGAATTCCTCTTCTTGACATGTAAGTGATCATGTTCAAGCTTCCCTCTATTTCAATTAGAACGGTTTCCAGATCCGACTTCTTCAAGACTCTCTTCCGTATGAGTTTAGTGCTTCAGAATAGATCAGACATTGTGAACGCCCCTTGCCATAAAGCAAACGGTGTACTCGTTTTCCAGTCTATTCCCACTAAGGTTATTCAGTTTGAACGAGATGTATTGTGTGGCGGAGCGCACTGCATCTTATTGACTCTGTTCGGCTAGTAGGTTATTCGAATTGTCCGATGTTATTATTGCTGGACTCCCTCTCCGAGAGAAATCTTCGTATTGCATTGGGAAAGTAGGACTGGTCATATCTTAGGCCAATTTCCAGGTGAGGAAGGCGATTTGTTGTACAGGTACAGATTATTCCATAGATGTGAACTACTTCTTCTTTTTAGCTCGCTGAGAGTGGTCCGAAGTGGTTCATTCCTATGTGGCTTGAATGGTCGTGTCTCTCCCCTCGGAGGTACTTGTATGGGGATTGTTTATTTTTCCGAGGAAACAATCTTCTTATGATTTTGTTCATACGGGCGGAGGCTTCGGTATGTCAGAAATAGTTTCTTCGTTTTCCCCTGTTTTTTTTGGCCATTGTTGTGATGCTATGGAGCACAAGGGTAGGTGTATCTGCGTTCTGCACGATTATCCTCGCGAGGTCACTTCTTGTCTACAAAGAGGGTTGACGTGATTTGAAAGCAAGCTCTGCATTTGCGAAACATCCTCGACATCGAAATAGACCATACTGATCCTTTTGTAGTTTCGGTTGCTTCTGTGCGTTCCCTTGGCTTCTTAAGGGGTGTCATCTGGTGATTAAGGATGATCACGTGCAGTGCCATTTTTCTTTCAACAGCTGTTAGATAGCGTTTGTTTGCGGATTTCCTGGAGTTATGAAATTGTTTTCATGATGGGTAATTGTAGACGTGGATTTGGCGTGTATTCGTGGCCAGGTTTTCGGTGAAGCGTAGAAAGTAAGCTACTGTTCTCTTTGAGGGAAGAACCCGCGATTACTCGCTATCTAAGATGGTGGATTAGGGGGTTCCATATAGACGACAAGGGGTTGTAACTCGACTATGAACAAAAAAAAGCACAAAAACCATGCCACCTGCCCTAGATAGAGCCCCATTTCGATCACAGTTCGTTGTGTGCAATCAACTCTGTCGTCCAAATAGCCTTACATGCCCTGGTGATTAACGATAAGATTCCACGATCGTACTAGTGGGGATTATCGATGCTTGCTTCATGCTGGCAATTCATTTTTACTGGAAGTGGTCCATTAGAGCGGAGTCTGGAGGCGAGCACTGGACAAAGGAGGAGCCACTAAACTATATTGCGGCTAGCAACGCCCTCCCATAGGAATGTTTGCGCCGGCGAACCAGTACAAGGTTGTTCGCGCGGACTAACTCTAACTCAGACGCCATATTTTCAACTTTGATAGTGATCGGGGAGTGCCTTTAATGAAGCCATGCGTTATCCTCTTCCAGTCCAGCAGTTCTTCTAGGCTATAGTGCGGCGCTGTTGCTGCTGAGCATATGTAGGTGCTGTTTGTTAAGGTGAAAGATCGACAGACGTCAGGCCATTCTAAAATCCCTTCTGGAATGAAGGCTGGACCTTTCCACCACATATGATTGATCAAGGTGTGCTTATCTACTGCTCGGGTAGTCATATCTCATATCATATCTGCTCTACTGTCATTGGTAATAATGTACCCAGAGTGTCTGGTGCGTGATATCGGATGCTATTCTTCTGGTTTCTTCAACGCGATTGTTCACTAAAATTTCCACTGATTTCTCAATTGGCTGTAAGCTTATTCAGCTGAGAGCAATGTCAGAATCCGAAAGAACAATTACATCATCAACTGTTTTTCGATCTTGTACCGCCGATGAGATCGTTGTCATAGTTAAGGTGTTTAGCTCCAATTTAGAAACTACCACTTTTTCCTTCAAATGATATTTCAATCTTCCGACGAAGAGATTGGTTTCTTCGCGCACGTTGCCATCCATTGTGCACTAGCATCCAAGAATACAATAAGCTTTGAGTGCTTCTCCCCAAATTATGGAGCTCTTCTGGGTGGAAATTTTCGAATGCTTCCGCGATAAGCTCCCATTGTTGTTTTTGAATTTTGGCTTTCTCGACAGTGTCTCGTCCCACTGGCAGTTGAATTTCCACAACTGTGCGAGGAATCTTTTTCCAGTGCATGTTAGTGGTGCAAGCCATCCTATAGAATACATAAATACCGTTCGAGACTGATTTCTTTCTGGAATCGATTTTCTTTGGATAGGTGCATGGGGGGAAATGTGTGCTTTCGTGTTCCATGGCGATTCCAAGTATTCCAATTCTGCAGAATGACAACAGGTGCCGGTGCAATTTCGTCCTTCAAATGGCTGTTGTTCGATTGAAATTGTCATGGGTTTATGCTGAGCTCGTTGAAGACTGTCTTTGCTTTTTCGTAGATTTCCAAGGCTTCATTCGTTGAGGATGCTGTTAATATGGGGTTGTCGACGTAGAAAATGTCCTCTATGTTCTTCCATCTTTTACCATCGTCCGTAGGTGATGACTGGTTATTCCAGCAAGCAGGAACGGTGAGCAGTTCATTCCAAAAGTAACGCCAGTGAATCGATATATGACGATGTTTTCTTCAGTAGGTGGGCCATGCATGTAACTCTACGCGAATCTTGTTGCATCGCCATCCGATGGATGTAGGCTGTGTCAGGAAGGCTATCCAGTCGCCAATGATTGCTGCCTCCCCTATTCTGAAGCGAAGTAAGATGTCGCATATTCCTTGAAGAATGACTGCACCTTGATTTAAGAGACCGTTGAGCGGTGGGCGACTCTTAAGGTGCGCAGATGCACCAAATACGATTCTGACTTTGTAGTCGTTTTTGAGGAGTTACGACTGCATGATGAGCTAAGTAGTGCACGTTTATCCTTTAGGACTTCGCTCTTCACTGACTTCTTCGCGCTTTTCCTTTTGCAACTGGTTCCTGTTGGCATCATGGATGCTGTAGTTTATTGTCTTTAGTTTTCTTTTTAGAAGTGAATATGAATAGGTTCGTGGCGTTGACAAGCGAGCTGCGTTTTTGTCCGTAGATTGACTGCACATGGGTTTAGAGGAAGCGCTCCATCCTTTCGGTTTTTCGTATCCTCTCCGAAATGTCTTCCAGACTGCTGAGTTTGTTGATCAACTTCTTTCAAATTCGAAAAATTGTTCCCATGCTTGTACTGGGCTCGATTGCGCTCAGGAACCCATATAATCAGTTGCTCTGTACGTACTCCAAACGGAAGTTTTCTCGACTTCTTTTTGTTTTGCACCTTCGTCCTGAGTGATTTATGCCCAGTTTGGATGGATGCAGGTTATACCAAATGGTAGTGTTACAATTTGGTTTCAATCCAGCATCAAGTAGGGAAAAGACATCAGCACATCTAAACAGAACGGTTGCTTGACAGTCCTGGTGGAGGGATCGATGGAAAGATGCGTGTCGTTTCGGAACAGAAATTCCTTGTCCTCTTTGCTGAGACTGTTGCAAGGTAGGGTATTGTGATCCTCTCAATATGAGAATTCGATACTGGTTGCTTCGAAGCCCCATATTTCAAATACCGTTTCGCCACGGGGTTTCATAATTAGCTTTTGGGAAATCGAATGTGTTAATCTACAAGTTCATGGGATCGTTGAGTCGAAGTCGGTGAACCAAGTCATCGCTGATGAATGAGCGTTCCGCCCCTGTGTCGAGCATGAAATGAAAAAGGATCCAAGGCCCGAGCCGTCCAACTAGAATTTGGGCTGCTAAGTTATCTTGTGTGTCACCGACATGGTGAACGTTATGTTGAGCAGGTTTTGGGGAGTCTATAAAATTTGGCGTCGGGTACTTGGTCAACGAGGGACGCTTGACTGGTTGAGGCTTCGTGGATGTATCAGTTGATAACTGTTTTTGACGGATAAGTTGCTGGTTGTTCGAGGGAGGCTCAACTTTTACATTGTGTTGACCGTTTCTCTGCATAATACGGTGCAGGCTCTCTTGTGGCAGATTGGAGCTACGATGAACTCCTTACCACATGTTGTATAGCAAGTTTTTTGGCGCAATATAATCTACTGTTACCTCAAGCGTTTGTGGCTTCGTTCATCCCATGGTTATGTCTACTTTTCCGCAGAAGAAACAAGAGTTCTGACTGAACCCGCGATACGTGGTTTCCATGAGGGACGTCTGACTTTGTTCGTTTGCTATTACTAATAGACCACTGTTTCACTTTGTAGGATATTCGGGTCTCATCTTTCATGTTCTCTTTTGCTGCTCTCGGTAGCGATTGAGTATCCCATGTCCCGGCTTTCTGTTTGACTTTTGGCCGAAAAGTGCTCTTTGGACGTCGCGGGAGATTGGAAATAGTTGTTTTCTGTAGAATACGTATCAGCATGCTCTCCTTGTTGCCACAGAGTAAGGTGTGGCGTGAAACTTTCGGCTGTTCACTGATCTCTAGCAGTTTCTTGGAGCAAGGCATCCTATGGGGTAATTGTGTTTGTAAAGGTCATATGTTTCTAGAATGAACGGGTTGGTGCTCCGCATGTTTCCCTCCCAGATATTCGCCACTAAATTTGGGGACGGGGACTGCAGCTAGCTTCATTATTGATACTTCAGATGAAGCCATGAGAATTAGCACTTCAGAAGACTCCATTCCTTGCTGAAGTAGTGTCAAGGTGTTTGTGCCTCCTGTGCTTCGTCCGGCTTGCTCTGCGACTGTTTGGTGCGACTGCCTTTTGTAGGAGATCCGACCTCGCTGATTCTTCCACTTCCACGCTGTGGACGCAGTGTGGTATTTTTTTAATGCGATCTCTACCTTTTCCGATTCCATTTGATTGCTGTAGTAATTTGTCTACTCCTAAGTATGGTCGTAGTGAGAGAAGATCTGCTCCGCGATAAGAGGTTAGCCTATTCTTTGTCCACTGAAGAATCCTATGGCGGTTCGCTGAAGACAATGATGACATATTCAAGTGACTCATGGAGTTGTTTTTATTTCGCCGCTTCGAGTGACGAAAGTAGCACGTTCATGTGAATGCGGACTTCGATGCCAAATGCAGGGAGCATTTTGGGTATTTAGCGCTATTCAACTTTCTGCTCCCGAAATCTCCTTTTTTTACTGAACCATCGAGTGCAAGGGTCACAACTATGATATTCATCTCTCCTCCGGGGCCATTTTTGGCGCTAATGTGCGCTAATTTGGTGCTACAGTCTTCCACGAAAACCAGTGTAAGCTTGCATATTGAAGTGATTTGACATTTTGAAGTTTCTCAAAACCTCCTGGTG